TAAATAGGTATGAGACAGATATAGAAAGTGAAATTATTACCCATGATAAATATGGCTTGTAACGCCCCATTTTTCTGTGTCTGAAATAGTAAGTTATCGGTCTGTGAATAGTGCCATAAGTCCGAAAATTAATATTATTTTGGTCCGAAAAAATTACTATGTATGTTTAATATTTTCTTTAATATTTTTGGAGTATGTATACATTATTTTTATGGGTAGAAAGTAAGGGTAGTATAGTGAATTGAAACAGTAGAAATTAAAGTTGGTAAAAAAGGTGAACAACAAAGTATAGTACAAAGATCTTTCAAGAACATCTCCAGGGTGAAGAAATTAAAAAGTGTGTGAAATTAGCTAAGCAAAAATTTAGGAGAGACCGCGAACAGAAGCACAAAAACTGGATTAAATGAAGCCTTTAAAGTAGAACAACAAGAGGGAATGCCAAGCAATCCGGTTAACGTATGCAACACACTCTTAACAGGTGAATTAGGAAAAACAGATGCTACAAGAGTCATGATCATCATACTGATCAGTCGTCAGCTCTCTATACATAGCATCATTTGCTTAGGCATTTACGGAGACAACGAACCTAAATAACTCTCTTCCTTTGATAATGTGGGAATGCCTATAATCAATGAGGTTCTTTCTCTCCTCTTTGGATCTCTCTAAAGTCAACAATGCCACATTCTATTCCAACAGTCTCAGAGGGCCTTTACCAATTGGTACCTTATACCTCATATTGCCTCAATCGTAAGAGTTCCTATATACATCTCTTAGGTACTCATATCCTTGTCACATGACCCGCACTCATAGCAGTAGTCGCACGTTTATCCTCCTCTCTTGATTTGATCGCAATTTCTTGTTCAAGAGTTCTTTGGCTCTCCACTCTCACCTTATAAAAAGCCTTTCAGAACGTTTTACCCCCAAATCTAATCACTATTCTCCAAGTTAATCAAATCTCTCAAAAACTAACAATCTCCTAGACGTTTAAGTAATGCCATCACGTAACACGAATATAAAACTAATATTAAATGTATTTCTCAATAAAACTTAAAATAACGTTTATGTTGATTATCCGTAAGGCATATAAATGTTAAACACGTCATCACCATGTTTCTCTTGAGTATCATATTAAGGATTCCAATTCCGCAATAAATAACCACAGAAATGGTTGCGGTCAAGTGCTCGACTCTTTTCGTTTGTGCTCTCTCAATTCATAATACAATTCAACTAGTTGTGCAGAGCGATGACTTTGCGGCTTCGCCCTCTCAAGGAGATGCTTGCAGAAAGAAAACCAAAGGGCCGTCGATGAAGGGCCATAGGGCCAATTATAAGAAACTGTGAGAGTGGGTTGAGCTCGCTGTGAGCAACGCCATTACTTCTCGAAGCTGACCGCAAAAGAGTCTTCTGAAACGAGTAATAGTATCCTATTACAAAAGGTTACTATGTAGCTCCGTGCAAATAAATGATCTATTAACCTTCAGGCTCACCAACAGTTAATAAAAACATTTACACTACTTGACCCCCCATGAATTATATTATCGAAATTCTTAGCTTTACCCTCAATCCCATCTATGTAGAATAGGGATGAGAAGTAGTTTGCTGTCTTTTAGGTTGTCACACCGTCGTCACTCCAGATCTGATTTAAATAGGGAGATTTAAATGAGAGAATTAGTACAATATAAAAGAAAAGGTATGAGACAGATAATAACAAGTGGTATTAATTTAGTTAACCCATGATAATGAAGTGGAAAGTAGGCGTAGAAATGTACGCCCCAGTAGTGCGTGCTGTCTGGAATAATAGTAATGTAGGTCCGGTTGTGAAGAAGAAGAAAATAGTGCCATAAGTCCGGAAAAAATTAAAATGAATTAGTTATGGTCCGAAGAAGAAATAATACTATGTACTGTTGCAAATAGGTTCTCCTTTGAAAAAATAAATTTCTCTTGGTCAGCTATTTAGTACAATATCTAAGTTTATGGGAAGAGAATCAACGTCAATTGAATATAATATATGAGAGCACTCTAGATTATTTAGTAATAGTATAATTTCCTATACGGTGTCAAGTATTTAGAAATTACGGAAAAATCTCACGCAAGACAATATAGTTTTATGAAAGAAAAATGTTTTTGAGAATGGTGTCAACAAATATCATATACTATTATAAGAAAAATATATAGGAAATAACTGTTTAGGTATTGTAACATTCTGAGATATTTTATATGTTGAGAAATAGAATGGAGACTGAATTGAAGGGAAATAATTCGGAGAATATTTGTAGTCCTATCCTTAGAGTGGATTTTACCGATGTCGGAACTAATCTTAGCCCGAGTTCACAATGTTGAAGAGAAAGCACTAAAGGTTGTAAATAGAGTACCCTTGTGTGCCTCACATATATTTTTGACACCAACCATTGTTGGTTTCTCTTCATCGTTTTGTAAAAATCTGTACAAACCGCTGACACTCAGGTTCCTGGAGCAAACTCATATTCTTTCTCGTAATCTTATTCTCTCTCTCTGTGTCTCTTGTGCCAATACCTCTCTCTGAGACATTGCAAACCAAATATGCGTCTTGTATTACCTCCTGGTCACCTCTCGATAATAAGTTTTAGCACTTTCATCACACCACACGTTCATCTTATACACAGGACGGTCAGTCATAGGATAATTGCCTAACCAGCAAAGACCCTCTCTCTAGAACTCGGAACTCTCTAATTGTCACTCAGCTCTACAATTGTGGTCGGTAATGGAGCTTGAGAGATGTGAGAAGGACATATCGCCTAAACTGCAAGAACTTGGATCTACTTTGGTAGTAGTCACGGATTTGGAGATACTCGGCCGGTTTACAATAAATCACATCTAAAGATTCGAGATTTAATGGCACTCGCTCCAATGTTATTACGCTTATTTTAGGCAGAATTGTATATTTGAGAAACTTATGGATTCACAAAGAATATTAATATATTTTTTGTGTGTAAGATAATTTTGGATAGTTAAGTTGATATGATAACTTTACTTCTATTTAATGTATTTTCGACTCTCATTGAACACACCTACTATTATAACAACATAATACAGCAGTTCACTATACTTGATTATAAAATACGTGACTAATGCAAAGGATGCATATTTTTTGATTGAATAGAGACTAAAATATATGAATTTGCATTTAATTAGAGGGTAATACCTCACAGTTTATGTGTACATTACCATTTTAATGCAAAACTGTAAATATAATTTTTTTGTGTTAGGATAATACTTTTGAACTAGATTCAGATTTGAGATGTTTAGATTAGTATTTGTTAGAGTATTAAATTAGGGATCGGGGATCTTTTAATAATTGTCTAGAAACTTAAGATATTTTAATGTAGGCATATGTCTTCGCAAAATTAATAAATTCACTCACTCAGATACAGAAAGAAAGAACCACCTGCACATAAATATTCAGGCGATATGAAATATTTTAAAATAGTTCACTAAGACTTGATATATATAATGAATGCAATTATTTGATGGATATTAAATGCTATTGAGGGTTTATACAGTTATGAAAATATGACAGTGTTATTGTGTTCTGATGATTATTTGGAGATGTTAGAAGTTTGAAGTTTAATTGGGAGTGATGTTTGCCGAACTTAGTTTTATGTAGGATTTTTCCAATTTATTTATATAAAAAAAAAAAACATGACATAATATTTAGCATACAGGATGATATCAGCATGACAGGATATAGATTCAACCAGATTGTAATGTCTCGACTCGGTTCATTCGGGTTAACAAGTGGACTGGGAAGGGATGTTACACGGCTAGCGTACGAATATAGGTCTTTGAATACCTGCTACACTCTATTGGATACCCACGAGTATTGTATCCACTATTAATAAAGATTGTATTTTAAATAAGTTTGAATTTAGATAGTTAAAATTTGTGGGTACCCTACCCGTATAAGAGAATTTTAAACGGATTTTGAACAGTTACGGATAGTAAAAATTTAATCGGATTTGGATACGGATACTTAAATGAATATTTAAACGGATTTTAAATGAATACAAATGGTAAAATCTTTAATGTATGTAAATATAGGTAACTTAAATTTTATGGATATCCATCCCTCTTTCATCCCTCTTCACGATGCGGTTAAACCCTCGTCAAAGAGTATGGACATTATAACTAAGGGTGGCCACGGTTTCGGAACCGGCGGTTCCAGTTCTAAATTTTTTGGAACCGGAACCTAACCGAAAATTTTCGGTTCCGGTTCCGATTTGAAACCAAACGGTTCCGGTTCCGGTTCCAATTCCTTAACGGTTTCAAAATCGACGGTTCCGACCGGTTTTCCGGCAAATCGCATAATTTTAAATTTTAAAGACCGGTTTTCAAAATTTAAAAACTTTGTCAAAGTTATTTCTAAAAAAAAAATTTTTAATTTGTAAATGGAATGAAATGAGGTATTTATAATAAATCCAAAAAATTATTTTTCCAAAAATACCCTTGAAACTAGCCGTTATATAGCTGTTTATGGTTGTTGGGAGGGGGTAATTAAGAGATTCACAACAAAATTTAAAAAATAATTTGACAGTTTGTAACTGCTAGAACCGCCGATTCGAACTGATTTGAACCGGCGGTTCTAACCGGTCAGAGAACCGGCAGTTCCATCCGGTTCCGACCGATTTGTGAAACCGTCGGTTTGCGGTTCTAACAATACTGAAACCGGAACCAAACCGAAAATTTTCAATTCTCGTTCCAGTTCAGACCGATTTTGATTTCGGTTCGGACCGATTTCGATTTCAGTTCGGACCGGTTTCGATTCCCGAAACCGTAATATGGCCAACCCTATTTACAACTGTCCATTACGTCCGCAAAACTAAAGAATTCATTTAACGCTCTTCCAAAAAAAAAAAAAGAATTCATTTAATGGAAATTTGTGCCTTAACTTTATTTTCTGGTTTTACTTGCGTGGCAAGATATTATAGGCTTTTAAAGGGTGACCTTTAAATGACTTCACAAAGGATCGATTTTCGGCTTTCGCGCTTTCTCTGGATCTCAATCTGCTTCTGTTTCTCTCTATTAGACCAAAACATACGCTCTTTTTCTCTCTCCATATCAAACAGCTGGTTTTTCTCTTTTTGTCACTCTCTATCTCTTTACAATCCAACGCAACAACAACTTCCTATTAAATGATCCCTTTCGTACTCTGCTAGTCTCGCTGATTTACTCTCGTCAACCTTTCTAAACTTTAATGGCGTCCTTACACATCTGCCGTACGCCCTCTTGCCAGTCATTTCTGAAATCGGAAAACAAACGCCGCAGTTTTAGCTCAGTGGTGCATGCCGATTTGGGCCATTTATGGAAGGTGAGGTCTAAAAATGTCTCCTTGATGCTTGTAAGATCAGTTGGAGGTGGCATTCAAAGTTCGCAGGATGAATTCTCTGCTATTGAGAAGAATGGGGATGGAAAGGAAAAGGAAGATAAGGCGCTCGTATTGGGTGCAGAAACAGATGAGTCGGGCTCTGTTATTGGGTTTAACTTGATTTCTCAGTCTGGTATGTTCAGGCGATAAAATTTTAAATTTTGAATTTTGATATTTGAGTTTCGTGATGGTGTTTTATATGTTTGTTTGTTTCTATTTTTGATCGAATGCTTTTTTTTCTTTAACTGTTTATTCTGTTCTGCTGTTATTGTTACTATAATTTGGTCTAAAAATGTCTCCTTGATGCTTGTAAGATCAGTTGGAGGTGGCATTCAAAGTTCGCAGGATGAATTCTCTGCTATTGAGAAGAATGGGGATGGAAAGGAAAAGGAAGATAAGGCGCTCGTATTGGGTGCAGAAACAGATGAGTCGGGCTCTGTTATTGGGTTTAACTTGATTTCTCAGTCTGGTATGTTCAGGCGATAAAATTTTAAATTTTGAATTTTGATATTTGAGTTTCGTGATGGTGTTTTATATGTTTGTTTGTTTCTATTTTTGATCGAATGCTTTTTTTTCTTTAACTGTTTATTCTGTTCTGCTGTTATTGTTACTATAATTTCGCTATATTCTATAATCTTTTTCAACTTTTTCCTATTAAATAAACTTTTTTTTAATTACAAGGGTCTTTTTTTTTGTTTCTTCCCAGCTGAAATAATATTTTAGACATCAAGTATCTGTTCAATGAATTGAACATTTCTGTAAGTATATTGGCATTTGAAGCATGGCACTGAATACGGGTGCAAGGCCTTCATTTCTTAGAAAATTTCTGTATCAGACTTGATGCGACAGTTAAGTAGCCAGAAGCATCAATCACGTGCTCAGGCAAACTTTCAGGGGCCCGCCTCTCATTCGATGCCAGGTGTCAATTGCTTTCTAGGATTAGAGACAAAGTGTACCTCAGGTTGTAGGATATGCCTAAATTGAATGTACAATTTAGGTTCTACTACATAGGACAGCAGTAGATTTGGCATCATATAATTGTTAATGATTATGGAGATTTGAAATCTTTATTCATTAGTTCTGATGCTTGATCAAATTGGGGTTATTGAGCAATTACATGGTATATATTTTTGTTATAGTTATCATTAAAACATTATAATTATATGGTTTTTATTTTTGTTAAAGTAAATATTGGTTTAGATTTGGTGCTCACATACACAAGAGGATTAATGGATACCATTCACATGGATACAGAAAAATATTTTCTAAAGTTACGAAGAATTTAAATGAGCACAAGATTTTCTCAATTTTTTCCCTTTTGTGAGAGATTTTAGAGCACAAGATTTTCTCAATTTTTTCCCTTTTGTGAGAGATTTTATTGATGTAGGAGCCTCTAGAACATTTTATTAACTGGAGGCTAATTCGTGGGTTTCTAGTTTGATAGGCTGCTTTCCAAAACATAACTGAAATATGGTTCATCAATTTTGGTTTTTTAGTTCACTATGGTGATTAAAATGATTTTATATTGTAATTTAGTTATTTCCACATTGTACTATTAAAACTGCTGTATTGAATGTAAATTTCTTGTCCAGTTAATGACAACAAATTTGATATAATTGTTGGAACCATGCTGACATACCCTTGTTATGTGAAAATTGTTTAAGTTTTCGTTATATCTCTAAGTTTACTGCTCATTTCAATAGAAAAAGATTGGTTATCAGATACTTATTGATTACTGATGTACTTTTAGCAGGTTTCCTTGATATTTGCAATAGACCTGGCTCACTAAAGAATGGAAAATACTAGACAGATGGACATTTTTATTATTTTTTATATTGGTTATTGTTAATGGAGAATGGATATACTTACTTATCCATGCTATGAAATTCTACACATTTTAATGTTGTATTCTGGATTATTGTGGATGCCGAAGACTTGTGCAAAAGCTTATTCTAAAACTTGTAAACTCAACCTGCAGGTGCTGAAGAAATTGAATCTCATGAAGATGTAGCTGTTGATACAGCGGAAGAAATTGTGGATGCTGAAGGCAGAGAGAAAGCCCAAACGAGAGTAAAGCATAGTATTGTCTTTGTTACTGCTGAAGCAGCACCGTATTCAAAGACAGGTGGATTAGGAGATGTTTGTGGTTCTTTACCTATAGCGCTGGCTTCCCGTGGACATCGCGTAATGGTTGTTTCGCCCAGATACTTACATGGAAGTCCTCAAGATAAGAATCTGGTTAATGCTGTAGATTTAAACTGCCGCGTGAAGGTGTATTGCTTTGGAGGGGCACAAGAGGTCTCCTTCTTCCATGAGTATAGGGAAGGTGTTGATTGGGTAAGAATTCTGAATTCTTTTCCTTCGTAAATTTGTGGGCCATTTAATTTTTATACAATTTGAAATAGCTTTTTCTTTTTTTAATGATTTTAGGAACTGTAAGCTCTTTTCCTTCTTGCTCTTATTCTTTTTCTCGTAACATCATCAGAACAGCAGAATCCTTGTGATAAAGATGAGTTTTATGTATTTTCATTTTAGGTGTTTGTAGACCATCCTTCATACCATCGACCTGGAAACCCATATGGTGATGGCCGTGGTGCTTTTGGTGATAATCAGGTAGTGTATTAGATGCTTATAGCTGCTGGGCCAATATTGATTAATGAAGTAGGCTTTTTGGTTCTGAAGCAATGACAAGCTTACTTCTCATTTGGTTTTACAGTTTCGGTTCACTGTACTTTGCCATGCAGCATGTGAAGCTCCATTGGTGCTTCCACTTGGAGGATATACCTATGGGGAGAAATGTCTTTTTCTTGCTAATGACTGGCATGCTAGCTTGGTTCCTGTGTAAGTTCTTTCTTGTTGTTGCCATGTTAATTTTATTAGTAAAAGACGCATGGAGCTTTTACATGCTGGTGAGTCAAACATGCATCAGCCACTGGTCTGCTATTTTTTTTTCTCATCTCAGGATAGACACTTCCTTTTTTCTGCCTTTTCTCTGTTGCATATTTTGGAGATGGTTTCCTCCATAGTCCCACATTACTTTTGGAAATTTATCTTTTGGAATAACTATGTCAGTCATGTGTTGATCCTTATGTGACCTGTGGTTCAGACTTTTGGCTGCCAAATATCATCCTTTTGGAGTTTATAAGGATGCTCGAAGTGTTCTTGTGATTCATAACCTTGCACATCAGGTAACTGCTTCTTAACATTACTATTTGGTGCTGCCTCGAGTCTGCATACTTGGTCTTGCAATCTGCAAAACATGTCAGATTTCTATTTAATTAAGGTTCACGTTTGCAATCCTAATTGGACAATTTTATCTGCATATGCAAGGGAGTGGAACCTGCAGTCACATATAAAAATTTTGGACTGCCTCCAGAGTGGTACGGGGCACTGGAGTGGGTGTTCCCTACTTGGGCAAGGACTCATGCTCTTGACACAGGTGAAGCTGTAAATATACTAAAGGGTGCAATTGTGACAGCTGATCGGATACTGACAGTTAGCAAGGTCATTACTGTTCTACATCAAGTGCTTACTTTGAGGTGTCATATCTGATGAAAGTTGACATCCAGTACCATAATTTGACTACTTAGAAATTTTCAACACCCAAGTATTTCAGAATTACAGACCTCTGTTTTGATGGGAACAGGGTTTACTTTTTGAAATAATCTAAAATTACAACGAATATTGGAGAACATTGAGGTCACTTGTGTAAAGGTTATTGTTGCTATTATTTTGACAAAATTTCAATAGTGCATAATACTAATATTTTAATAGTAATAGCAGGGCTATTCTTGGGAGATAACTACTGTTGAAGGTGGCTATGGTTTACATGAGCTGTTAAGCAGTCGAAGAAGTGTTTTAAATGGTATGTTTTGAACTTCTCATCTAGGAGCACAGAGTATTGGCCCTGTCAGATGATAATGCAGGTTGTACCCAAAAATATATATTTTGGTGCTTGATTCAGTTATGTTTATCATTTTCATCAGGGGTCACTAATGGCATTAATGTTTCTGAATGGGATCCGTCATCAGATGAACATATTGCGTTTCACTACTCTGCTGATGATCTTTCCGGAAAGGTGACCAAGAGTCTCTCTCTCTCTCTGTGTGCGTGTGTATGTGTGTGTCTGTCTCTCTTCTTTTTCTTTTTCCAATGACCAATTGTTTTAAAGCAGCGTTCATTTAGCCTGGTTCTTTTCAAATTGCAGGTTCAGTGTAAGATTGCTTTGCAGAAAGAATTGGGTCTTCCAGTTAGGCCTGATTGCCCACTGGTAAGATGTTGATTCTTTTGATGCCTATGTCTGTTGACAATAAAAGTTCATTTCTTTAAGTTGATTGAAGTTGAAATTTTAGATTGGATTCATTGGGAGACTGGACTATCAAAAGGGGATTGACCTGATTCGATGGGCGGTTCCTGAGCTGATGGAAGATGATATTCAATTCGTAAGTGAGTTTTTCTAATCGTGCCATTTTTCTTTCATCCCTTAAACATTTAATTGAAGGAGGCATTGTTTATCACATTCCTGGTTGTTCTAATTTGTTCTCTAGATGAATTTCAATGCCAAACTTGTTATTATCATGTTTACCACTCCAATTTTTTTCAGAATGTGATAAATAAATCAATTAGTCTCCATAGAAACTTTAGGTTTTGAAATTAATACCTTGTTTTGAAAGAGTGTGAGACAAATACTTTAATGAAGCCTTATTGGAAGGTGCGCAATAATATATGCATGTTTGAAGAGCCTTTATTAGTTAAAGTGAAGCAATTTGTGGCCTTTGCAGTCTTAATCAGGATAATTCATTGTGTTATTCCTCCAGACAACTAATTGTGTACAGCATGTATCAGGTTATGCTAGGCTCTGGCGACCGACTATATGAAGAATGGATGAGAGTGTCGGAATCAACTTACAGAGACAAATTTCGAGGTTGGGTAGGATTTAACGTCCCAATTTCTCACAGGATAACTGCAGGGTAATCCAAATTTTCCATTAATGTCTATGCACTATTTGAAATAAGGAAGATGGTGTTTGAAGTCCGTGCAATGATGCTTACTGAAGTTTTTGCAATAAACAGCTGTGACATATTATTAATGCCGTCAAGGTTTGAGCCGTGTGGGCTAAATCAGTTGTATGCAATGAGATATGGAACTGTACCAGTGGTTCACGGCACTGGAGGACTTAGAGTGAGTGAAAATGATCCACAAGTTAAAATCAGTTATTCTTTTTGCAGGCTATATGCACTAAAATCACTTGCTCTCTCTATATATCAGGATACAGTTCAGACATTTGATCCATTTGCTCAAGGAGGTGCTGGAGAAGGCACAGGGTATGTGATTTTCTTTAGGTTCTTATGCTACATGATTTTCCTGAAAGTTCCTTGTTAGTTGCAAAACTCGATAGCCATAATTGGTGTCTATTGTCCACTTGAGACAAAATAAAATATAACTTAAAATTCATCTGATAATGAATTTTGTTCCATCAATAACATTGAATTTCAGAAGATGTTTTGTTTTTTTTTAAGGTCTAGTTCTGCTGCATTTTTTGAAGACATTTGACTTGAGTGATCTATTTGAGGCTATGAAAAAAATTATTTGTCCTAGTTATTTGGTTTCTTTTTGTCCCACTTTTTTCCCCATCTGAACTCCATTATGTACTGGAATTGGATGGTTTTGGGCAGTCCATCACATGTGTAATCATTTGCCAATTAGGAAAAGAATTCCATATATCTGTGGCTTTTACCATTTATTATAGTATATATCTGTTGAAAAATATCTTATGTACTTTTGCCTAGCATTTCCATCCGTAGTGCCACAATTTTGTATAGCATTCGCATCTTCATATGATATTTTTCAACTCTCTGCACTTCGCTTACTGTGAAATTTTGAGTGTAGATCTTTGTTCAATTAGATATTTAGTTGCATAAAATCCTTTTGTAATGTAAATTTATTTGCAGGTGGACTTTTTCTCCATTATCGAAAGAAAGTATGCTTTCGGTAAGTTAATCATATTGTCAATACACACTCCATCACCGATGTAATTCACTAACGGTCTCAACTAATATTTAGTTCTTGGTTGTTGTTGATAGGCATTAAGACTTGCAATCTTGACATATAGAGATCATAAAGCATCTTGGGATGGAATAATGAAGAGAGGTATGCAAAGAGACTACACATGGGAAAATGCTGCAATTCAATATGAACAAGTCTTTGAATGGGCCTTCATTGATCGACCTTACATTAGCTAAAAGGAGATATATATATATATATATGTAAAAGTAGGAAAAATAAAATAGAAAATGAAAAAAAAAAATTTTTTTTCAAAATTATTCCTTGCTTTTGTTTCTGGAGACATAAACCAAATTCTTTCCCTCTTCCACATGCTCTATTGGGGATGTGTGAGTTTTACATTTTAGGTCAATTCTTTTTGTTGAAATATTATATTATAGGCTGCATGTGCAACTCATTTACAATTATTTTATTTTTTATTTATTTTTAATTTAGTTCTACATAGTACAATAATTGCTTGTTGATGTAGATTTTGATTAAAACAGGAACAGCTATGATAAGTTTATATATGTGTAGATCATTTTTGGCTGAATAAATAAATTCACCCCTGAATTTATGAGATTTTAAACTTTGCAAATGATCTATCATATACTTAAACATGTAAATTTTGTTATGATAACACACCTTTCCATGTTAATATCAACAATTTTTAACGTTTTTAACTTTTATTATAAAATATCATCTTGCTAAATAGCTAACATGACTTTTTAATAATAATTTTCATAAATTTAATTTTATTATGAGTGTTTAGTTAATTTAATTTTGTAAGTTGAATTGTTCAATAAAATAATTTTAAAAATTAAAGTTTTTAATAGGTGTAATTTTATAAGTTTAAGTGTTTGATAGTTTAAAGTATAGGTGGATTTTTGTTTTTTGGCATATACTTTTTGTTTTAGGTAAAAATCCATTTGCTTGTTGGGTGGTGTTGTTTCGTGATCCCAGCCCTTGGTTCCTGTGGGCCCACTGCTAGCAATGGCTGCGATCATGATAATAATGCCATAAGACTTATTTGGTAAGAACATCTCATTCATGAAAGTGTATAGATGTAGGAGAGATTAGAGGATCGGAGTGTGAGCATGGAGAGCTGGTGAGAGGAGTGATGATAATATTATGAGTTTATAAGTGGATTATTAGGATAATGTGTGATATGGGAAGTGATAGTAGGATAGTTGTGATGTGAGGTTGATTGTAGAGTGTTGATAGGTTTGATGTGATTATTGGATGTTGTTGTATGAGTGTGAGAGTAGGGTGTGTGAATGTTGTGAGTTAGATGTAGATTCGATTGTGTGGTTGATGTGGAGGATGTATAAGCGAGGGATGCGCAGTGATTAATTTGGGATGTGTGTGTTGTGCAGAAAGTAGAATGTGGATGTAGGTGGTATAGTCTGGTGTGTGGTGGATAGATAAGCGCGCTCAAATGGAGTTTGAGTGTCTCGTATCTAGAGGCAGTGCCGAGCTAGCTAGCAATGGCGTGAGTATTCATGAATAATATGGCCTTATATACAGCTATTTGGTAAGACATCTCATTCATAGAAAAGTGAAGGTCGCGCTACGGGGGGGGGGGAGGGGGAGGGGGGGGGGGGAGGGGGGGGGGGGGTGGGGTAGGACAGTGCAGCAGAGTACGGGCGCTGCATGCTGTGAGTGTGGAGTTGGATTTGAATTGTTAAAGAGAGTGTTACTGTTTTTTGTTTTAAATAGAGTTCATAAAAGGGCTTGAGAAGTGTGATGTATATATTGATAGTTATAACATGGTTACTTGTAATTATGAGGTGATTAGGATGATTTTATGATATTTTTTTATTTATGATTAAAGATATTTTTTATGAATACAAGTAAATATGATTTTTTTGATTACGGTCGGGGAAATTCGTAATAAAACACATGGCGCCATGTTTAGCATGGTTAAGAAGTAGGTCAAAGTAAAATAGAAATCGCTTCGTCTGGGGAAGGACGGACGTAATAGAGGATGAGTTAAAAGGAGTGAATACAGTCGGAATTCATCAAAAATAGAGGTCAAAATTATCGCTAGAAACGGCTGGAAATTAGATTATAGACGGATTGCGTGAGAGTAGTGAGTAAGGCAACTCAGTAAGTTTTTATTAGATTTAAAGAAAAAATTATGTTTTAATGAGGATAAATATATTGAATATTAGTGTATTGATTTGGTTTGCTTTGATTTTAGGGTTGAATTGAATTTTTTGGAATATATGTGGATTTAAATTTTAATAAAACTTGGATTTTATGTTGGTGGTATTTTAATATTTTTTTATAAAAAATGAATTTATAGTCAGTTTTATATTTGGTTAATCAAACAGTGACTTATCCTGACATGTGACACACCAATATATAATTTTTTTCATCTGCCTAATCTAATTTAGTAGACATGCAGTGACCTAGTAGTTTTCTCTGGAAGTCTTGTTTATTGATTATCTAATACTGTTATCAAGACTATCAATCTCTGTTAGTATACGATGATGATCAATAAATCTGATTCTTGTGTACTGTGCAAATAAAAGTATCATATGACAAAATAGGGAGTTTGCTGGAGTCCTCAATCCCAATTAAGATGTCAAGTAGGATTATTCATAGTAAAAAGAGTTTTATTATTTTAATAATTTTGTGATCGTTGAAAATTTATTTATATTTTGGTGATTTGATATTAGAAGTTTTACTTAACTTGATATTTTAATGTGATATTATTGGAGAAATAAACTTAACTTGGAAATATTTATGAATAAAACAATAAGACTTGTAATATGGTAGGGTTTTGGTGAAAAATATGTTGAGTATAATACAATATTTAGTTCGTCTATTGTATGTTTGGTGTTATTCTTCTGTTTTTTATATATTATATATGGTTTTACAAAATAGAGTGCAAGGTATTCTAAAATTTAGGACATTTGTAAATAAGTTAGTTTTCGTATAATTAGGACATTTATGGATTCCGATTCTTAAATTAGTGACTTTGTTATTAATATGCTTAATGTGAGTTTAAGTGGTGATAAAAATGGCAGAAAATAACGTTTAATTGATTCAGATTCTTAATATGGCAATGTTTGGTTAAACCATGCAGATAGTGCGGCGGAGCTAGAAAGAAAATAAGATTAGAGGTGTGCGAAAAATTTCTTACATAAAAAAATACATTATTGTTTATAGATAAAGAGAGAAAATGAATGTTTTATATAATTTTATAAGTAAATTTCCAAAATAAATAAGAAAATAAAATTCAAGGGGCAGTCGCACGTAGCCGCACCGCCTAGTTCTGGCTCACATTTGGATAACATGACAAATTAAAAGAAGACGAGGAATAGTAATTGTTTTTTATTAAAACCATTAGTTATCGGGTGAACTTTTATCAAGAGTACTGATTTTGGCAGTAAGATTTGCGTTGACTATAAGATATATCTCAATAAATTGTAAATTAAACAGTCAGAGATGGATGTGTAATTGAGTGAAAAAGACAAGTTTGACAACTTAATGTGGTTGTTGTATATTGAAACGACAGTTGGTTTAGATAGGAAAAATTGATGTAGTTACTCTAATTAGCGTCGTATGTATGTGCGTGGTCCTTGTATATATATGTTAAGAAAAGGCAATTATTTAAGTTTGAGCTCATAGTAATTAACTTTGCTTACGTAATTAATTTAGTACAGAAGTGAATTTTTTCTGTTGTTCTGAAAAGCTATAATTGAGTTGGGTTTTTTAGTGGCAGACATCTTGTCTCATGAATGTAAAAATTATTAAAGGATGTGGTAAGAAAGTAGCTGTTTGGAAGTGTGAACAGTGTAAAGGTGGAAAGAGTGGAAATTTGTTTGAAGAAGACGCAGATTAGTTGTTGTTATAGCGCCCTTATTTTTTTTTCCGTTGGAGATATATATATATAGAAGAAATAGATGGGTTCATGAGCTTAGATAAGAATGGATCTTATAATAGGATATGGCTCATCACTTTGTGGTAGATTTAAGGAATATAGATGAATTTTGAAAAATGTCATGTGTAAAAGTATAAGTTATACACTTCATTGATTGCATCTTATTGGGCAATTGAGAATATTGAGAAGATAAGTTGAAATCGATTTGATATTTAATAAAATGGTGGACTTTAAATTTTATATAAAATTAATATTATTTGTTTAGATTTTAAGTTTAGTTTTAAAGTCAAATCAAACTAAGAGACTTATTTTTTGCTGAGGTCGCGAACTTAAGACTTCTAAATATTATTAGTGATTTCTAGATTTTTCATCGCTTATTTGAAAAAATTTATTAAATCTACTAGCAGTAAATGAAACTGTCATTCATACTAGTTTCGGTAAATAGATGCATATAATAGGGAGATTGACAGCAATTTTTCTGAAAATATACAAATAACTGCAATAAAATGTTACACATAGATAATACACATGAAGTTTCTCTCTCAGGGTTATGGTGTTTTGAAGTAGACTTTTCTCGTCTTCCTTTTGGATTATTGATATCCCAATGCACAAAAGGAGATGATCTTCCTTTTATTTCTCAATTGTTGAATAGGAACCGAAAGTTAAATCCAAACATTTTTGGATACCAGCACGAGTTGCGTCCGTCTTTAATGATTAATATAAGTTTCCAATGGATTTTGGGATAGATAAACGGAATGAATTTACTACTCGCAACAGATAAGTGAGTAAGATACATTTAAAGGATTTTTACGATACCGCTACCGTTTACCGTACTATATTAAATATATGTTTTGACATGGTAGCCGGGCCGAGTACCGTAACCATTTTATTAGAAAAAAAAAATGCAATTTTATAGTTCATAGATTTGGAATAGTTTGTAAAAATTATGAAATAGATATACTGAAGTGGTGGGGCCCGTTTAATGCATATATTATTAAAATGGATTTAGGAACGAATATGGGATAAGTAATGTTTGAAAATGAGTAATGACAGGGATTTAAATATATTTAAACGGGTTTACACAGATACGGTAAGGTATAGATGTTAAAATAGATATGAATAAACGAGTAATTCCAAAGTTACTATATCTGTTCCCGCTTTCAATCTAACTGTGAGCTCCTCTTTTCTCAATTCTAAACACTAATTAGACACAATAGCAAAAGAGGCAAACGAATGATTAATACCAAGCCAATTATCAACGAATATTTTTTGTTAAAAATTAATTTAAGAACCATAAGAAAAATTTTGTTGGTGTTATTTATAGCAAAGTAACGCATGGTTTTCCCATGTTGTTAAGATCAATGACAAACTTAAGCTAGAAAAAAATAGTAAGAAATTGGTGAAAGATGATATTTTATTAGAGATAAGCAAAGGTGAAAAATGTAGAGATAATACAGTAAAATACCACATTTTTATTAAAACTGTAATGGAAAAGGAAAAGGATTTATGGAGAAGTATTCGTCCATAGCAGGCTCTACGGTAGAGGGAGAAGCTTATAGTTTTATAATAAGGCTTTTGCTAT